CGGGTGCCCTCTTGCTGGAAACCTCAGTGCCCTAATAAACACTTTCATTGACCCCAGCCATGCCTTGTTCTTCCTCTGTGTACTCTAGTGGAATTAGCATCAGGTCCTGTGCAGATGCTGCCCTCCCCTCCCCAGCCCTCCCCAGGGCCAAGGGGCACACACTTGGGCTACAGGGTCTTGGTTATGGACAGCCCCATCCACCCCTGCAGGTCAGCCTCTCTCCAAAGAGCCACCTGGCAGTGAGTCTGCCCCATGAACAAGGTCTGGTACCCGCTTGGCATTCCCTGCAGGGGACTTGGGTGCAGCCACTAGGAGACGGAGCCTGGTCCCTCAGCAGGGAGTGCAAGCTCTCTCCCACCTCAGCCTGCCCCACAAGGTCTGGTACCCGCTTGGCATTCCCTGCAGGGGCCTTGGGTGCAGCCACTAGGAGACAGAGCCTGGTCCCTCAGCAGGGAGTGCAAGCTCTCTCCCACCTCAGCCTGCCCTGTACTGGGAGCAGTCAGAGCCCAAGGGCCAGCACTGACCCTCTTGTCTGCCCACATCCCAGGTTACCTCTCCCACTCAGACTGAAAATACTCTGCAGACGAGGCCTGGTGCTGTCTCCCCTCCATGGCTCTCTGATGCGCCATGTCTGCCACCACACCCCACCTTCCCCTGATCTGTCCACTCACCCTTGACCTCCCCCCTAGGCCTGGTGCTGTCTCCTCTCCATGGCTCTCTGATGCGCCATGTCTGACACCACACCCCACCTTCCCCTGATCTGTCCACTCACCCTTGACCTCCCCCCCCATGTGTTGGCCTGTCCCTACCGGGGGAGGGGTCCCCCAGGGCAAGGGACCTCTAGGGCACCTGACCCTCCCGATCTCAGTCTCTGGCCTCACAAAGGGCCTTCATCAGGTCACTGTGGCCTACTACCTCGGTGTTCTGTCTCTGGTGACTCTGTAAAGCTAGGCCACACTGGCCTCCAGTTGTGTCCCTGGAGGCCAAGCCTGGTGTCCTCCCTTCCATTCTGAGGTCAGTAGGAACCCAGGGGGCCTCTGTGGAGGCCAGCTGTGCTGTTCGGACCACACTGTGGAGCAGCGACTTGCAGGTTGGGCCTTGCCCTGGGTCCCTCCATTTAACCAGCACCATGTGTCCCCACCATGGTGCCAATGCTGAGACCGGAGACCTCTGAGCCTACTGCGCACATCGACAACTGTCACAAACTGATAACTTACTCCCAAAAGTTAAGAAGCTCCACTGTGATTGGGAACACAAGAGCACATGGTCATTAAAACCATATTGGAAAAAACAAGCCTGAGAGCTTGTCAAACACACCAAATGGAAGGGTGAAACCCCTCACTACCCCACAGAGAGGAGGGCACCTGGCCATGCCCATCCCACCACCTGTCATCTGCCCATTCCCAAATGTCCCAAGGCTTCAGCTCCTTGGCCCCTACTACTTACATGACCTGTTTGAATCATTGTCTGTCCATCTATCCATCCATCCATTGATCCATCTGCCTGGACCTGGTCTTTACCTTACCCCAAGGGCTGTGCTTTGCCTCCAATGCTAAGACCCTGCTCAAGCTTACAACACCACAACCAGGGTCTACATGCCTCAGCAGCTCTCCACTTCCCCTCAGCAGCTCTCCACTTCCCCTCAGAAGCTCTCCCCCCTCCCCAACAGCTCCCCCCACCCTCACAGTTCCCACGCTCAGTGACGACCACGCCCCCAGGACCTCCTGGTCCCCAGCAGCTCTGCTGTTAACATCAGCTGTAATCACTGCAGTGACTACCTCTGCATCAGCTCCACCTCTACCTGCACTGAGGCCTGTTTGCATTCTACTGTGGCCTGGTTACCAGTATGAAGCCATTTTATAACCTACACACACCCATCTGTACATTCACCGTGTGTTGTGTAACCTGTGAGTGGAGAGTAACATTAGTAATTAAGACCGGGGTAAAAGAGTGTTTGCCATGGCCATGGCTGTCTAGGAAAGATGGATGACTGGCAAATTGCTGCCTGTGAAACCCACAGAGCTTAATTTATTGCTATTTAATGAATTCCGGCGTTGTGGCAAGACATGTTAGTGTTTCTGGCTGAGTGTGTTCAAGTCACCCGCAGGACCCCACTCCTCTGTGCCCACCACACACACTGCCAACCCGGCACCAGCTACAGGTCCTCCTTTGAGTCTTTCCCAGCCCCTACCCACCACTTCCCTGGTCCATGGAGGAGCTGGGTGACTACAAAGGGGCAGGGAAGGTGGGACCTGAGACCCTGATCCCTGGAGCCCAATGCTGGAGCCCGGGAGACAAGCGCATGCTGGGAAAGGGCAGTGCTGTGAAGGCAGGTGGGGACACAGGGAGAGCCTCCTAAGGGACTGCGCTCTGGAAGACAGTGTGATCTTGTCCAGGAGAAGATGCCAGCTGTGGATGGGACAAATTGGTGAATCCAGGAGAGACACCACTTGCCAGGTGAGTCCTGAATTCAGGGCCTGTTGTCCCTGGGACCATACCTGATAGAGTAACTTAAGGGTTTGTTTGGCCTCATGGCTTCAGAGCTTTGAGTCCGTTGTGTTGAGGAGGTATGGTGGTGGCGTGGCCAGTTCACAGCAGCAGGAGAGGACCAGGAAGCAGAGAGTGAGACAGGAAGCTGGGGCCCAAGAAGTGACTCAGCTGTGACCTACTCCTGTCCTGTACGCCCTTCCCCTCAAAGTCTACAGAGAATCCCAGCACAGCACCACAGCCAGGGACAAGAGTTTGAACCACACCACTGCCAAGTGTCAGCACAAACACAGTGGGCCCAGCTGGCTCAGGAACCACTCCGAAGGTCTCAAACCACAAGATCCTCAGATGGCTCAGCATGGTGGGTGAGATGAGACTCTGCCCCTTAGAGGAGGAGGTGGAGGCCTGCAGGGCACTGTTAGGACACAGCCCAAGCAGGCAGCAGGGATGGGGGTTTGGGACAGGCAACTGGACTACAAAATCCCTGAAGAAGTCCTCCTGTCAGGTGACGTCTAGGACTGGGGAGAGTGGCCTCAGAGGGGAAGGGACGCTACAGAATGCCATGAGAGAAGTGAGGGCACCTTGTGGACCAGTGCTGAGAAGCTGAGATTAGACCAGGCGTCCCCAGCTTTGCTGCTCAGAAGAACTTTCAGTGCTCTCCTGGGAGCCTTTATTGGAAGCTTATTGTTGGAAGTTCACATGGAGTTTACATACAAGTGCTCAAGCAGGGCAGAACACACACGAACTGCCATAGTCTGTCTCTCCATTGCTGTGACAAAACACTGACCAATACCAACTTGGGGAGGAAAGGGTTTATTCAGCTTACATCTGGTCACAGTTCATCAGCCCAAGGTAGGAACTCAGGGCAGGAACTGGGGCACATGCCATGGAGGATCGCTGCTTACTGACCTGCTCCCCTGGCCCCTGCTCAACCTGCTTTCTTATACAACACAGGCCCACCTGCCCAGGGGTGACACTGCACACTGGGCTGTCCTCCTTCATCACTCATCAATCAGAAGATGCCCCATAGACATGGCCATGGCTGGTCCAATGGAGGCAATTCCCCAGTTGAGGCTCCCTCAACCCAGGTGTGTCAAGTTGACACTAAAGCTGTCCAGCACAGGAACTTGCCCATCGTTATAGTAGGAAAACAGCACAAAGCACCCAAGGTTGTGGTGACTGGCCCAGAAACAGACCTCCTTTGACGCATGTACAAACAGGGTGAGGAGCATTACAGCATCCTAGGAGCAGACTCCCACCACCCCATCCCCGAGCCTCTGCATCAGCAAAGCCCAAAGAAGTCTGTTAACTCTTAATGAGCCAAGTGCCAGGAGTTTGGTAACTCTTAGTGAGCTATCGTCCTCAAGGGACAAGGCGGAGAGTGGCTACAGGAAAGAATCATGAGCTACGGGACCACCTGGGCAGGTCAGGGACACACTGGGGTCACCACCCATCCTTGAGCGGGAGACAGCAACCTCACACTGAAAAAGAGGGACGTGGCCAGAGAGGCTGAAGTGATGGCACCATGAACCACAGAGCCCCTTTCTGGGAGTTAGGGCCAGCAGCCCAGCCCAAGTGACCCTCTCCACTTGGTGCTCTGCTCACAGGAATTGTGCAAAGGGGGGAACAGTGAACCACAGAGCCCCTTTCTGGGAGTTAGGGCCAGCAGCCCAGCCCAAGCGACCCTCTCCACTTGGTGCTCTGCTCACAGGAATTGTGCAAAGGGGGGAACACACACACCTGCCTTGTGTTCCACATGTGCCAAGGTTCACTACATCAACACAGTCGGGCACAGGGGAACCCACAAAAGGGACCATGGCCAGCTTTGCAGGACTTTTAGCTTCATAATTCCCAGATGTCACAAGCCGTCACTGAGATGACACAGAACAACAGAGAGTCAGCAACTGCTCCAGAAGACTGATGCTTACATTTCAGCAATCCCACCAGTCCCAACTCTCCTAGTCTGTGCCACCCCACGTCTCACGTCAGTGTTAACAGTGGCTGTGCTGTCCTGTCCCTGCTGCCTACCTGTAACACCAAGGAGCTGCAGGGACTGCACTCTGGTAGTCCTGACTACTTCAGGGATGAGAGAGATACCCCAGGGAGGAGGGAACGGCCCAGGGAGGAGGGAACGGCCCAGGGAGGAGGGAACGGCCCAGGGAGGAGGGAACGGCCCAGGGAGGAGGGAACGGCCCAGGGAGGAGGGAACGGCCCAGGGAGGAGGGAACGGCCCAGGGAGGAGGGAACGGCCCAGGGAGGAGGGAACGGCCCAGGGAGGAGGGAACGGCCCAGGGAGGAGGGAACGGCCCAGGGAGGAGGGAACGGCCCAGGGAGGAGGGAACGGCCCAGGGAGGAGGGAACGGCCCAGGGAGGAGGGAACGGCCCAGGGAGGAGGGTACTGCCCTGGGGTGGACCTGGCCTCCAGGTGTGATTTTCCCTAGCCCTCCCCTCAGGTCCAGGAAGTCTGAGAAAACCCAGCTGTCATGGTGGCATATAGTCACTCTGTCAAACCCCAATCAGAAATAAACACACAAAGCCTGAGGGGTCATCGCTTCAGTCAGACCCTCACTGCTGTGAGAACAATTTGAGGGAAGTGGTGGCTTATCTCAGCTTGCAGTGGGATGGAAAGATGAAAAACTCAGGGGACTGAGAGGGAAGGAGCCTCACCCCAGGATCTAGTTTGCTTTTCCTCTCAAGGAACTTCAGAACAAGCTGGGCAGATGGTCATCAGCAAAGTGCTTGCCTTGTGAGCATGAGGACCTGAGTTCAATCCTCAGTAACCACATTCAAAAAGCTGGGTATGGTGGTAGCCTAGCCCACGTAATCCTAGTGCTCAGGAGGCAGAAACAGGAGGATCCCTGGAGCTCAGTGGCCAGCAAGCCCTGCCGGGCAAGCTCCAGGCCAGTGAGAGTTAAACAAACAAACAAAGGTAGGCAGTGCCTGAGGGAAGATACCCAAACTCATCTTCTGGCTTACACACGCACACACACGCGCACACACACACACACACACGCACACACACGCACACACACACGGAAGATACCCAAACTCATCTTCTGGCTTACACACGCACACACACGCACACACATGCGCGCGCACACACACACACACACACACACACACGCACACACGCACACACACACACACACACACTTCAACTGATAAAACCAAAATTGCTACACAGAGATAATGTGTGTTTTCCTAAAAACAGCTCAAACACGTATGTTATGACCTCTGATTAAGTGTGTC